TTTTAGCAATAGAGAAGAAAGGCTGCAGAGGAAAATGATTATTTTAAATTCACTGCTTGACTTAAGACTGTCATTTTTTTTTAAATCTACTCTGCATTGCAAAGACAGCAGTATCTTTCACTTGAGCTTTTTTTTCCTCTTTATAAAGAGCTGGAAGTCTGACAGAGTTGCTTCTAAAACAGAGTTAATAGTATAGAAGAAGTCAATCTTAAATTATGAAAACAGCAATTTTCTATAATAACCAATACCTCTTCATTTATTTAGAGGTATGCTCCTGAGAGACCAACCAAAATCCCAAAGGCTCTCTGGAAAAAACAAAGACTTGTAAATAGAAATTATGAATCCTACTCTGTGGGAACTGGAACACAGATTTTGCAAACAACTACAGATTTACAGGCTCAGGAAACGCCGCATGTATTACAAGCTAACGCCATTAATTGTTAAAGCTCACCGTTCATTTAGATTGGTATTTAGACATCTGATATATCGGGGGGGGGGACTCGAGACCATGGCTCATGGCCACATAATGCCCAAAATTTCAAGAGCCATACAATCCCTTAGTCTGGCCACACAACAGTATTACATCAAATGTATTAACTCTGAAAATATTACAACCAATGCCAACACGCTCAGAGAGGGAAATACGGGACGACTTGACTAAAGGCAGGTATATTACAGACACCCCATGGATCAGATAGTAAGTCATACTCTGTTATGTGCAGAATAAAGTATATCAGTAATTATAGGCTCTGGTTTATTCTCAGTTACTTTTCCAGTGATCCTTAGCATCTTATCTGTTCTTTTAAAAATGCAGTATTTTGCATTTGGTTGACACTGAAGTTCAGCTGACATTCTGCACTCCACCACTCAATACTTCATATCCTTCTGCAATTCTGCACACAAATCTTAAGAACAACAAAAACAAAAAACCCATAGTAATCATTATAACCTTTTAGAACCCTTTCCAGATCATTTCTTTGTATACTGAACAACTAGCTATTTATTCCTACCCTTTTCTTTTTTTCTTTAAGCTAGCTGTTAACCTATGAACAGACTTTCCCTGGCTGCTCCTGGAAGCCCTGAAGACCGCCTGTAGCGGACAATCCCATTCCACTATCTGAACTGCATTTCTGTGTTAGAAACAGTGTTACTCTTGTATTCTGGATGAGAGTTTATTAAAAAAAAAAAAAATTGTAAAACTCCTTGTATTATGAAATACATAAGGGCTCCTATGATATTTTCTCTAGTAGTGGGCAAATTTCCAGGAGAACAACTTGAAGAAGAACTAGCAGAGACAGAAAAATAAAAACAAAATGAAATTAAAGCTCTCCACTCCAAAAACATCCTTTTCAGGAGGCATAAAACCAACAAAAGATATCTTACTAGACAATGAGAAACTATGCAAATTTTGTGACTAAAATTCTTTCTTTCTAAAATTCTTTCAAACAACCTCCCCCAGCCAGATGCTGCTGGAACTGAAAGGATCAGACCCTTTATCAGTTATATATGCAGAGCATGAGTAGAGCACTCCAGTTCAAAAATACTGCTCCAGCAGAGGTCATACTCAGGAATGTCATTTGTTGCATTCTCCCCACCTTCCAAAAGAGCCCAAGCAGACAACTAACAGACATCTGGCAGACAGAACTTCTCAGACCAGTGCAAAGAAGAGGGTGGAATGATTACATAAGAAAGGAAAGAGAAATATATGGTCGCAACTGAAAACAAAATGGAAAGCATCACATTATTTTATCCATTCCAGGCTAGTAAACTCTTTGTAAATTCAGTAGCAGGTAGGCACAGAGCACAGAGTATCGGAATGAAAGAGCTTGTCTTCCACAAGTCACATGCAAATACACATTTCTCCAACCCAAGGAAAGGACAAACCCGAAAAATCTCTTGCTAGTCAATGAATTCAAATAGGACAGGACTAAAACCTATCTAGCTTGTTTGGGACAAGAAGTCAATAATGATGTAACATTTCCGAACTAAAAACAAGGAACATTTATTTCACTTGAGAATTAAAACGACCTTGTTGAAGCACAATTCAGCAAGAAGAGAAACCACAAGAGATGTCCCCATTTAAGCTAGAGTTGTCCACTTCTCAGACACTTGAGCTTTGCACCCTCTGGAAGGGTGCTGTGTGTCACCTAATTGGAAAGGATCTACCGCAATACAGTCATAACCCTAAAATGGGAATCTTGATGCAAATAAATACCATCAAATGCACCAATTCAGCCTTCTCCAAAATGCTGACAAATGTAAATATATATCATTATAAGCAGACTTGTCTTTACAGAACATTAAAAAACTAAATTCTATATGTCCTGATACACTGATGCAGCATATGATCAGACCTTATTTTACTGTTACTGTCTAATGGCACTAAGATAATTAAAGAGTAAAACAAAGCAAAAATAAATACTCATATCCAGTTAGCATTCATACTGCAGTTTTTAAACAGAAAAATAAAGGTGATGTACACCCAGTTCCAGTAGAAAAGTGAATAAAGTAGGATAGTTAACTTCTCTCAGGTCATTCAAAAATTCAAGCCTCACTCACTAATAAAGCTAAAAATACAAAATCTAAAATATTGCCTGAAATCAAACACTGCCCTTTTGCTTTTGTGAGTTTCCTCTCGCATAACATAAAGTTAGTTGAGAAAGGGTATCAAACATCTATTCTGGTTATATTAAAAAGCTATTCCTTTACCTTCCCTTAAATTCATGTATTAATCATTTCTCCTTTCCGGTGAGCTGCTGAAAAAACTACAAACGTTTTCCAGTTTCCTAAAGAAATTTTTTTGTAGCTGATAAAACAGCATGAAGTTGCCTTGAACTGCTATTCCTTGGAGGCCTCTTTATTAATGTTAAATATTTCATTTTCTGTTATTCCAGTTAAAAAACAAAAGAAACACATTAAAAGTTATTCAATCAAACCGCCTTTTATCAGTAGGCAGAGATGTCTCTCCCCCCCCCCCCCCCGAAACGATCTCCACTGATTGTTTAAGAAATCTTTTCACATGAAAATAAGTGAAGGCCTGCTGGGTGTCCCAATGGTGATGGTCTTTTTTACTGTTACTGAATGGATCTGAATGTTACGGAATGGGCTAATAGGGTCTGAAACTAGACAGTTCAAAACCAGAAGAAAGTAAACCTTGTAAATTGTGATTACGTACACTGTTGTTTACTTATCTACATGAGTTTGAGGTTCCTAATTACATCAAAGAATACAGTTCTACAAGCAACAACTATAACTTCCTCAACAAATTTATCCAAGTAAATATGAAATTTCCAAATATTTGTCATGACATAAAATTCGGGCCAGAAACAAGAGAAAAAGGCATGATGCACGTTCACGAGCCAAAGTTAAGTTAATGCACTAGAACTGAGAAGTCTAAACAGTTATATTTGTTCTTCGAAAAGGTGGTAGTAGAGCGAGAGCAATTATTAGGATCATCAGATTTTATTACCTTTTACTAACAGTTTTAGGTGTAGAAATGACAACGATTATGTGGTTTTGCTGTTCTGAGGGACCTGTTCTTAAAGACCAATGAAGATCAGTGATTCACACGTGTGAGAATATGTAGAGCACTCTCCAAAAGGGGACAGAGAGGCAGAGGGCAAAGCTTGCCTCTAACTATATGAGGGTTATGATATTTTCTCATTATGTCACCTCTTCCCACCCCTCAGTCTCTTTTGGACAGGGACTGGCTTTCATGTATATTTACAGAGCACCTAGCACAATAAGCCTGCTCACTTTCAGGGCCTACAGATCTTAACTAAATACAAATAATAAACTGACGCTGTTGCATGCCAATTATACTAAAATATATATGTAAATGATGTTCAGAAAACAGGCTAAGGAAAGATGACATTTTGCTAAAAAGCAGCTGACAATTTTACTTGAAAAACCACAAAAGTTAAAATACACTTTATTTCAAGTTTACACGTATGATAAACATCTAGCAGTCATAGGACTACATCCACCAAACAAACGAGAAAACAGACAGAAGTTTAAAGGAAACATCCCAGTGAGAAAGCAAGCAATCCAAACTCTTCCAGTACCTTAAAAGAGATTTCTCAGATGCCTGGATTTCTACCAGTGTACGGCCCTTGAAACTTACCTAGGAACATCATCTTTTACAACAGCCTCCAACCTGTGGGTGTCTAATAAATTTGAAACTCGCATCTCTTTCTAACTGCTAGAAGATGAAAGCAGCTTTCAAGCAGTCACTTAATACAGGTAATTTATCATAATACGCTTGGGGATACCTTGGAACGGTAACTTAATAAAGAGACTGTGCAGCACCCTCAGATATATTACAGTTGTGACACAAACTGAATATTCTTTCTTCCGACTTCCAAGCATGAGAGCATATGGAATATTTGCATGACGAGATTCAGAGATTTATCTGAATAGCAGGCATTACTTATAAGAACAAATACTGGATGAATCAAGGAACATATATAAGGAGTGCTTAATCTCTAGCATGCCAGCTTGAAAACAAAAAGGTCAGCTGAAAACAACTACCTATAAGATGATAAATTAAGAGAGTCTACAAAATGAGCTGGCAAGTAGTCCAATTCCTTCAAAAATTGTCGCTATACTTTACATCACTGTTGGTAAATGGCAAAAACTTAACGAACAAAGACAAAGCTATGCTGTACAAGAGGCAATACAGGAAAAACTGGTAATTCCCTCTGCCTGGGTCATACAAATATTTTTCTAATAACAAAGCCTGTTAATCTGCCACCTTTCACAACCCAATAAAGTAATACTGTAAGTCTCCTCTTCCACTGGTGAACTTACTGAAAACATTGTTTTACCAAGCTTTACCACATCCCATGTCTTGTTTTAGACAATCACTTCCCCCCTCGTGAGATGAAATATTTAACACAGATAAGAATATTTTTAAAATGAAATACTGTATTCAACATTAGAGAAAATAGTCATTCTGTGCACTTTACCCTAAAACATAAAAGTCAAGTGAAAGCTCCTACCTGAGGCCGCATTCTTGGGTTCCATCTGACGTAGTAGTTCACCCATAGTTCCAAATGGTTCAGACTGGCAACAGGATACAGGACATGGTTTTCATAGTTTACGTAGAAAGGATTTGTGAATTCATCTAGTTGACTGTTTACATAGGACCACAGCGACACAGTCTTTGTGCTTACCTCCTGATTAAGTAAAAGAAAATACTTAAGGACTGCAAAATCTTAAAACAGGAGGACAATAACTACCTATCAGTAAATTCCTCTATGAAGGTTACCTTACCTACTACAGAACAGCAAGTACTCTGAAAACACTTCCAATAGCTGGTCATTAAACAGCCTTAAAACTTTAGCAAAACTTAACTCTTGTTCCTTCTCAAAGCTAACCGAGAAAGGAGATTCAAGCATATTATTTTCAGACACAAGGTCTTGTTGAGCAAAAGAAGGCCTGCAGTCACTGAAATCTATGGTCACACACTGACCAAATCAAAAAGATTTCAAATTAAATTGGCTTTGAAAAGAAAATCAGAATATAGGAGAGTAAGAGACTATGCAGTTTGGAAGATCCAAAACAGCATCTGTGGAAAATTATTCTGTTCTACCACACGCACTCTTTACTCCTACAAATCTAGATATTATACTTTAAAATGCTGATTTTAGCTTTACTTGCGCTTCTGAAACTTACATTATATAAAATCTAATCACCATAAACATGCCTGGATCTAAGTTTTAAATCTGAACTTAAATCAGATTCATTTTGCAATTTTACGCTCCTCAGTGTTGTAAAGCACGTGCTTCTACCACCGCTGTGTCTTAAATGGCATTTCTTTATTGAGAATTGCATCTGACCATTCATGAAAGAAAACTGTCTAAAACCATGCATCTACTCCGAATGCGTTACTCAGCTCCATCTTGTGGTACGCGCATGCAATTTTTGCCTACAGAAGCAGTAACACAAACCACAAAAATAATAAAGCTAGATATACCACGGAATAGTTGCTTGCTTTAACGCAAATACGAAGTATTAAAAAAAACAAGCCAAAAGTAAGTAAAAGCACACTTGGAGTATTAACATAAAACTTTTTTTTTAAACTCAATTTTGCAAATGCAAAGTATTTCACAGAGTCCTAACTTCATTCATTTACCTATTTTAAATTTCCCCTTAGTCTTCAACAAGTTCCATCAAATTATGTCCTAAAGTGACCTGCAAATTCATCCATGGGAATTCCTCCGGGAACAGCAAATATAACATTAATATCACTTGATAACACCTATTCAAAGTCTCTATGTTGGCTACAAATATATGAAATAGGATTTTGTAAAACTAGAAAAAAATATACATAATAATTAAACAAAAATGAGTGGCATCTCATTTCGTAATAGGGTATTCAGCACATATTTCTCATACCATGACAATTTAACGTCCAGGTCGGTTTTTTTAAGTCTATGTGACAAACGTATCCAAAGAGCAGCTTAAAGGTTCTTTGGTCTTGTATTCTAAGCACTTCCATATAAAAACAACAAATTAAGAATGTGAATGACAATAATTATTTACCTCTTTCACCCTCTCTTTTTCACAGTTGCATAAGAAAGTCCCGAAGAGACAACTATAAAGGTGATCCAGAATGGTGATCAAAAATAATTCATTGAATTCAAATGCTGAAGGAAACTGAAATAAGGAATTTGGTAAAGTTATTTTAAACTTCACTTGAAGTAGTGGAATAAGGAATAAACTCAGACATAAGAAATAACCAAAAGATCCAGTTGATAACGTTTTTTTTTTCTTTAGCGACTATTTTCAGGAAAACTCAGCAATTGCAGTAATTCCCACTGCATTAATACATTTCACCTATATATTTCCTTCAGAACATTCCTCAGATACAAACCTTATGTTCATTATGTAACTACACTAAAATACAGGCATGGAATCATTAGCTAAAGTAAAACTTTACACAAAGTTACACACTTTACACAAAGCAGTTCATTATAATGAGCCCTACCTGACAATATCCTGTTGTAACTCAACAAAAACATTGTCCTTAATACATGTTTTATTTGTCTCGTTACAGGACAACGAATCATTTGGAGGAAAGAAAAAGATAACATTTAAGAGCTTTGTTTCCTATTCTATCATGTAATGAATTGCATAATAAAGACTACTGTACATACAGTGTGCTTAACATACTTAAAATGTTTATTTCACTTTCTATCCAAATAAGGCTATTTTTCTCCATTTCATCCCTTCAGTTTACCAACAGCTATGTACAATAATCCTCTAATCCCTCCTCTTTTTAATATTAGAAAGTAAATCCTATACATCTGAAATGAAAAAACTGTTAATCCACTAATCACCATTAGGTATGTTATTCATAAGCAGAGGTTACCTGATACTTTCAGAAAAAAGGTAGAAAATTTGAAAACACAAAAATTTCAAGATGTATATTCAATATATAGTGCATCAAAAATCATAAAGGAAGAAATAAATATAAACTGCATGGGCTACTATCTATTCAGATGGAAAAGATTCTTCTTTAATCAAATATTATGATAGGACTACAGATGACAACTGCTTGACAGGGCAAAATAACCGCACTCAGCATGACAACAGTCTCAAACACAGAGATGGAAAGAAAACCACGCAAGAGAAAAAACAATTTAAGATGACTAAAGGAAAACTTTAAAAGTAGCATTTCTCTCACTCCCCTGAGGGTGAGTGTTTTAAGATAGAGATTTTAAGGACAAATGAAATAAATTTTGTTCATTCCTAAATGAATGAGTAAATCTTTGCAGAAGTCTAAAACGAGGTGTTTCAGATTCATAAAGAACAATTTCCTCCTGTATGCAGAAATCTCAGGTCCGTATTTCAGGTATGAAGAAAGCAGCAGACTGGGTTCTGGTATCCACAGCAGAAGAATATTCCACACCCCGGCTTCCAGTGACTCAAGGGCTACATTAAATTAAAAAACAAACAAACAAACAAACAACCTCCCCCACACAAGTACGGCTAGGAGGAATAAACCAGCCATTGGGACTTGGGAGGAACTAGCAGATCCAGAAAGCCGTTTTCACTGTCATCTATGATTTATGAACAGCAACGTTTATTCATGCTGAAAGTAAGGAGTTGAATAGCACAGTGGTTGTGCTTTTATTAAAACCAGAAGGATCTACGTTTCAAGAAATGTTCTTTTATTAGAAGATTGACCAAAATTAAGCATTGTAAAAATATCCTCCTTCCAAGGCTTCTAAAGCTAAGATATTTATACTTTCAACTGAAAATTTTTAATATGGAAATCATCAGTATCACTGCTCACAGAACGGATGAAGCCTTCCTTCTTGTCACTCTCCTGTGGATTATGCAGTGTCCAATAGTATACGGTGAGCTCACACTGGGGCTTCTCTCTCAAACCACCAGTCTGTGTTTCTTTACCCACCTATTTGTTTTCTTAAAACACGTAGGAACTCTTTTAAGACCAAATTCTCTTTTTCAGTTACGTTCACTAACAGCACTTACTTTTCCTAAAGTTAATCAGGCTAAAACTCAATTACAATACGCCCGTGTTAACACCACAGCTATGATTTAAAAGATGTATATATAAACACAATCTGATAAGCAGCTCTGCAAAAGAAGGCAGGAGAAAATCCAGTGGGTCTCAGACCTTAGTCTCCTCCTTCCAACCCAATGCAGCAACCAGATACAGAAAACAAAAATAATCTGCAAAGGTCCGAAGCGCTATTTGGGAATAACATTGAAGACAAAGCCTCTCCTAAAGGGACTCTCTTTAACTGAAAGCACTTAATGAGCCTTGTCACATCAGGGTTCTGCACTGTGATGGGTCCATACTCATCAGGCGGACGGCAACATGGCAGCTATTCCAATCCAGTGAAGCATATTCAAACTTCCATACATCAGTGGTTACGCTCTGACTAATTTATTAATAAGTGATAGCACTGTATTGAAACTCCGTCTTTGGATACAAGAGCTGTACTGTTGGAGCTGATGTATCAAGACTGTAAAGCTTCTATTACTGCTGCTGAAAAATCACTGACCTAAAAATTCTTTCCTCTGTAGTTCCAAGCCCATTAGCGTCTGTTTGAAGATTCAGGTGGAAAAATTCCCCACATGAAAATTCCCTTTTTGTCAAATCCACTAATTGCGAGAGAACACACGGGTCATTAAAATCGCTCACCTGATGCTGCTGGATTTGGGTGTTTTTTTGGTAAAGGGAGTATTTAACAGGAAAATTCTCTTGTTTCTTTGACAATGCCAAGAGACATCTGATTCAGAGGCATGTAAAACAAACTTACTTCTCAATTGTCTGATTAATAAACTCATTCTGCACTACAGTAACATTTACTGTAGTTGCAACACCTGTTGAATAATTCTTATGATTGTTCAACTGGACTGAATTAACTTCACTGAACGCTAGATATTACAACAGCGTTCTTTACTGAAACTAATGAACAATGCATTTCCAGCAACAGATGATTATCCGGTAAAAACCGAGATGCAAATTTCTACCTATTTTAAACATACCTTACTCAGATGTAGGTACTGTGTATCAAAGGTAGGAAGATATTACTTGAACTGTAATATTACAAGCAAATTTTACAGTTGTGTTTCATTTTTAACAGGGCATCAGTATTTCATCTCCTTGAAATACTTCAGATCACGTGTGAGCTTTCCAATTGGAGATCGACTATTCAAAATAATCAGAATTTATAAACAGAGAGGGGAAACGACCACATTTTTAAATTAAATTTTGCTATCAATATGCTTCTCTCAAGTTCTCTATTACTGTATTTTGTGCGTCTCCGAGACTGGAAAAAACACAGAAAAACATACGGCTGTCAAGGATCTCGTTTCATCGTCTGAAGCCATCCAGAAATTTGTATCTTGATATAGTGAGAGAATCTCCAACTTCCCAATAAGTCAAATGTTTTAAGAATGTAATCCTCAGAACGTGAAAAAGAAAATGGGCTTGCTTTTACCCTCCCCACCCTTTTCACATACGTTTACCATAGATTCTAAAGCACGAAAGAAGCACTGTTTTACGAGCACTGTTATACATAGGGATAAAATAGAACCCTGTTCTTTCCAAGTCCATGTTAAGGTAATCACAGTCTTCATATATATTCTCTAGGTGTTGAAGTCAGCTAAAAAAGAAAAATAAGTGGGCAAGAACTCTCTAAGAATGATGTTTCAATTTTTCCTGCTGTAACATTAATGATTTTTCAATGCCACTGCTGTTCATGAATTTCAGAACAGTTTCTGAATCCAGGTTTCAAACAGATGTGGTACTGGCAAAATGTTCCACAGCCTCCCCTCCCCTATTTTCTTTATACTAGAGAGAACTAAACTGTTTATAGGAAGAAATAGGAGGCAGCAAGGGAGATCACAAAAATAGAAGAGGCTGCTCTCAATTAGGGATCTCCCTGGAGAACTTTTGTTTCTACCAGGTGCTTAAAACTGCTTCTCTTTGCTATTGTTATTAGCATTCCTTTGAGAGAGGGACAACATTTTTCATTTATTTTCTCCAGCCATATTCAACAGCATCTTAATGCTGAAATATAGACACACAGAAGGAGAAAGTTTTCAAGGGACCCTGGACAATGGTCCAGCATTGTAACAGGGAGCTTTCAGAAAACACAGAAGACGACTGTTTCAAATGTAAGATTTGGAAACTACAACGTGAGTAAGCTTGTAAGCACCACATGCAGAACAGGAAGATTGAGGGAAGGGATCTGGGAGTGCTAGCATCATATGAGATTGCACACCTTTACCTTCCTTTCCTCAAATCAAATCGCATAGTACACAGACTTTCATATGACAGGTCTTACCATAATAGCACAGATCTTTATTAGCTTTCAAGGAGGAAAGTGAAAAAAAGAAAAAAATAAAATATAAAATAAAAGGAGTCAAGCACTTCTAAATTACTTGGAAATAAAGTCTTCATGCGAACACTCTATTTCAGTAACCCCATTAAAGAACAGCAATATGAAAGCATGTTTAAATATTTAGTTTATGCTTATGGAGGTACCAACAAGAAGAAAATTAAGATTAAAGCATACCTGTAATTTAGAATAGCAGTGAACATTTTGAGAATTTCAGTATTTTGACACCTTAAATATCACCAATTTCAAAGATCTCCCCTGATGCAGAGGCAAAAACAGTGGTGGAAATTAGAAAACCATCTGAGAATAGGTTTGTATATTAGAAACACCCTCCTGTATGCATACACAATGCCAGCATCAACTTAGATTTCATATTTGAGACACACAGAGAAGAACCCTCAATTCACAATCAGCCTAGATTTTTGCTGTCACTGGAGGACAATACAAATCCGTATGAACACTTACACCATCAGGGAAAAGGCAAGGCAAATCATTTATCTTATCAATAATCCTCATTTACTTATCAGAGGATCCTTTGAAAGTGTATTTTAAACACAAAGCGTTCCTGGTGTTTTGGTCTCCAGTTAATACTTCTACTCTAGCTCCTTGTACCTCACTTTGAGCAAAAAGTTTCCCTATAGCACGCACACTGTGCAGTCACAGCACAAACAGCTTTATTCAAACATGCCTACTGCTCTGCAAAGAAATGTATTCTCATAAATGAATTGCATTTCCAAGATAAAGACTAAGACTTCAAAGAAATATAATCTTTGGAACCTTACCTGCTTGGTCATTTGCCAAACGCAGTCAATGAACTGAAGGAAGATGGGAGATCGGTCTGCATCAGCATGGTCATCGTCTCCATGTCCTACTCGCTGAAAGTCAGAACAAGGTTTTCATTTCAGTTCTGTGTGTTTACAGTACCAACCCATCACCTTAAAGCTCAGTAACTCTCAAACGCGTTCTCAAAGATGAGCATAACAAGCATACCTTCCGTAACGCTAACCTGTATTTTTCCACCAACTAAAAATGCATCCCAATATTCACATATGCTGGAAAGACAATCAGTCCACAAAGCTGTCCCCATTGGTCTGAACAACTGTTTTTATTTTTTTCCTTATGTGAATGGCCCATTGGACCTTCAAACGCACATGTTAATTTAAAAATTCCAAATATAATCGTATTTTGGAATAGATTATATCATTCATCATTTTCATTAGCACATTCTCTCATCCATCAGGAAGGAAATGACGTGAACTGGGCATATCATAGAAGCAGAGAAAAATGGTGACTGTCAGGAACCTGAAGAAGATACTCATGAGGAAAACTCTATCATTTCTGACAGACAGCTGTTTGGGGAAGTGGTATAGTCTCTATCACTGAATATCTTTAAGGATAATTAGCAACTTAATCTACTGCTTTTCTATTGTTACCATTGGAAAATTTTTCCTTTGCGTATATCTTGAATTTCTGTTTTCGTTATTTAGACATACAGCTTTTCATCCCGGTCACTGCAGACATGGAGAAGGCATAGTTCCTTTTCTCTTTATGTATTCAAAGATCACTTTGTCGTCCTTTAATTGCCACAGATGACACAGCTGATGAAGCCCGTGAACGTTCCAACACTTCTCTGAAGAACTGCTACCTAGCTCCCTCTTCCCAACTTTCAGTGCACAGCCGTTTATTTCTGCCAACAGGCAAAACTGCAAGGTATTTACTAAGACTGTACTGGAACAATGGTTCTTCCATATCCACCAGCCATAACAACATGCCGTTTCACCTAAACCGCCTTAGAGTCAGAGCCCCCAAAGTATCAGAGTAATTTATGTCCTAACGCCCCACTAGCCCATGGTTTAAATAAACACTGTGACCTCGAATCACAGTCATGGCTCCAGCGATTTTTACCTGCTGGACACCTCAATTGTTTTCCTTGCTCTTCCATTCATAGGATGGTTAAAGATGAAGGCATGTGCTACAATCCCTTTTCCTCATTAAAAAGTCACATCATTTTTGTATTATTTGGTTTGAACGGCTTCATTCTTACGTATTTTATTTTAGTCACACTCGTTGTTCGTACCTCATACAGGCTTCCTGTCAAAAACGAACAGCCCACAATTCTCCTTTACCTGTGATCTGACACACTCACATCATTAAAAGAACATTACCAATAGTAACTAAAATGCAAAATCCAGTGAGAAAATATGCTATTTGAAATATAAAGCCTTGAAAGCAACAAACTGCACATTAATTCTTTTAGCTTACCATTGCAAACCGGTGTCCAAAACTTATCCATTCTTTCTCTATAAGGACTTCAAATCCCTTGATAGTTCTGTAATAGCTGTCCAGCATAAGCATAGCTAGAGCAGTGAGCTGGGCAGTTCGATCCCAACCATCACTGCAATGCACCACCACAGATGTTTTACTAGACTCAATTTTGTCAGCAATTCTTACTGCTCCAGCAAGAAGCATCTTAAATAAATAAAAACAAACAAGCATATTAAATACCACACAAAACTCTACAAAAAAATTAGAATGCTATAATCTTGGGTTACTATATTTCAAGTTTTCAGATTAAATATATAGTCATCTTGACACCATTGCTTTATATTACAGATTTCCAAGTGGCGACACACATGCTAATAGAGGTACAAAAACCAATTCCTAAATAATGTGTGATCTGCTGTCCAGGAGACAGTTCTTAACCGTTCTCCCTTATCAGCGGTATCTAGAAAGAGGGGCTGGGAACCCCTTCTCTACACTATATCTGAAAGTCTGTATTATGATGACGAAAACAGAAACAAATACTATAACCTATTTAGAAGGTGAAGAACAAGTCTAGTGCTTTCAAAATTCATTCTCATAGCAAATAATCACTCTTTCTTCCTCAGCTTTCAGTTCTACTAAGTTTAGAGAAAGGGACAAACCATCCAGCTAATCAAAATCAAAACACAACCCAAACAAAAACAGAGACTGCTGCCCGGGATTCTGTGCTGATTTGTTAGTACATGAAGTATATGCATAGCACTCATCTCATGAGCAGATCATTAATAACCCGGGTTCAGAAGCATGCTGGGGAGCATAGGGATGGAGAGGGCACAAGACTGAGACCACTTGCGTGAACTTGTTATTCTTCTCCCCCCAAAACTCCCAGTCTTGTTCTCTCAAGTTGTTCTTTAGATTTTTAAGCTTGAATAATCTCTCTCCTATGAAGAACTGTCTCCATAACATGCCCCGCCATAGCACTGAGAAATACATGAAAAACAGTTGGAACAGTACCACAGGAAAGACTCTCATCCCTGCATTCCAACATCAGAAAATGAAATCTTATAGACTAGGTGCATTTTTCCCTTTCCAGGCATGTAAAAACACCTTCTCGAAAGCAGAAAAGCCTGTAGCCACTGGAGCAACTGTGCATAAGCCCAGTCTTAAAAGACCATTCATGTTTTAGAGATAAATTTTCACTGATTATACATTCTATAGCGAAACTGAAGGATGCCAGGATGGAAATACTGAGAAACAATATAATAACTTGTTTGAGAGAATAGAGCTTGAGATCTGAATTAGTTAGTTGCCAATTACTTCAGTTACAGACAAGGCTCTACTACACTAGAAAAAGTGTAAGTATTAAAAGGGTTGGGTCTTCAACAGAAGCAGAAAAATAATCTATATAACATGCAGGTATACAGTAGCTCACTTTACATTGTCCTGAACTCAGATGCCTGTGGAGGAGCACAAGGATAGAATAGATAGGCAATAAGCAGAGAATAGGAGAAGGAAAACTGGCTTAGCATTATTCAGTAAATGTCTATGGAGTAAGCGAGGCATTATATTCTACTCTGGACAGAAGTCTTTAAGAAATAAACAGCTTCCTCCACAAAATATAATGCTATTCTTTACCGATATTTCAAAAAACACCAACCACTATAGTATTTTAATTAGAGCTACTAACGAATAACTGGCTTTTGATTGGTTTAGAAAATGATAACTGGTTCTAAAAAAATTAATAGCCGAAGCTCTCCTCTGAAAAGACTTAGAAAGTAAACTGGAGAACATGAGGAAACATCCCGGCGTGCAAAAAGCAGCAGGTGACTCTACTCACGTTGTACTGCCATCTTCATACACTTAGAATGTTACTGATGCCTCCCAGGACACTCCCCTATCTAATGCTCATTTGAACTGTGAAACAGTCATATAAAAGGTCCGCTTCTGATATTATTCGGAACTGAGAAACCCCACTGAAGTCAACAGCAGTGAAAGGCAAATACTAGGCCCAAAATCTCCACTTTTACAAATAGACCATTGTACTTAAAGCCAGACTGATAAGAAACCGTTTCTAGATATTTAGACTCCCAAAGCTGTTTTAGAATATTCCAACTTTAAGAAAACAAGAAAGTTAGACTCTTACCAAAATATCGTTATATTTGCTTAATTCTTAATTTAAGTGTTTGCTCCCTCTACTGGTTCTTCTGCAGAAGTTAGCAAGCACTAGTTAACAGAGGAGTAAAACTAATGAACAATCCAAAACATGTTTTGCATGAGTGGTATTTGAGCCAATTGCTAATAAAACAAATTCCTCTCCATCCATATTCATGATAAACAGGGGAGTGAATGCGATACTGAAATAATCTATTCTAAAAGCATTTCAGAGGTTAATGAAACAGACTGTAAAACTGAGCATGATAGTGATTTATTTTAAGATGATGTTAAATACTAGAGTAGATTATAACCAGCAAAGCACAGACTATAAACAGCCGATGAAAATGTAGGCGTCCAACACATGAACACTAACATTGCTTTGAAGGAGGGAAGGATGAGAAAGATCGCAGAACTTAAACTGAGGTCTTTGGCAGTTGTTCAAATATAATCTGAAGTTCTCAGGGCAGTTTTCCAAAAAGCAGGGATAACCCTGGACCGCTCACAAGTATTCTCTCTCAGGAGAATAAAGTGTTGTCCAACACTAAATACGATACTGCATTATCAGGAATTAACTCATTACTTACCAAAACATATAAGCTGAAATACAAAGAAGTTATTATGGAACGGATATATACTTTATTTAAAATGCTAAGTGACCATTTCAAAATTCAGCTTTTTTACAAGATTATTCTGATCAAAGACGTAGTTAAATCTAGACATAATTTCAGTAGCATTTTCAGAAATTCAAGTAAAAAACATGTTCAAAAAAAACTGTTTTTCACATCAAAGGTCTCTTACTCTTATATATTCCAACCAGTGTGTGGAGTCCACGTTCGACAACCACCGAGTCTCATCAATAGTAGGATACACTATTTCTTTAAGTTTACGCAGCGATTCTCTCATTACATGTATATTATGTATTTCCAGAAAGACCAGCTCTGCATTTGGGTAGGCACTTTCACTTTCATATCCTCCACCTTTTGCCTGCCATTCAAAAGGTAGAAACAGAGAAAGAAAGGAGCATGTACAGTATACTTCAGTATGAATTTGAAAAAGTTATTTTGGTCAGGTTTTAGGATTTTTGGAGAGGAAGTATTATTTTAGCACAAATAAAAAACACATTCTTAGCACTTGCTTTTCCAAAAAGCACTAGGCTTTTTTTCAGATGGAATAAATACTAATCTTAATAGGCTGCATTTACTAATACATCCCCAAAATTTCCCCTTTTTGCTACTGATACATTTGGTCACAATTTGGCAGTCTTCCATGGGAATTAGTGCGCATCATTTCGCGGGTCTACCTTCATGCTGCCTTGAACTCCTGCCAGCCTTTCCAAAACGCTGTGATCGACTCACCTTCCTTCCTACACTCTTTTCAGAGACCTTATCTCTTTTCACATCAAGTTCTCTTTACTCTCATCTCTTGTGTAATCTTCAGCCCTGTAACAAAGATACATCTAGCAGTTATTATACCAACCTACCTTGTTCGTATCTGCAACGCTATTCTGTCTGGCATCAAAGATGATAAGTTTATGTGATTGAGCATTTGCATCCATTATTGTCTGCAAATATTTTTCATCTTCTTTACAATGCTTATCATTTGGGCCTACCAATGGTTGACTGCATCGTGTTATCGTTGCTTGGCTCTCAGGATGAATCCAGGATAACACCTGAAAATAAAGAAAAAGATTTTGGCTTATTATACCAATGTAAAGGCAGCAGGTCACAGTGCAATTAGATAATCACATTGCCTACATGGCATAATTTCCTAGCAAATCAACTAATGCAAACTTCAGGATAAGCTGATGAAAATTGTATTGTCAGGACACTAGCATCGCTGATCCTAAATCTGATCAGATGAAATACAAAGTAATTGAAATAACTTTGCTTTAATTTCTGATAAAGTCTGCCATTGCATATAATTAATTAGGAAAAAAATGTACAACAGAGGAAGAAAAATCGCTTCCATATGGAAGTCTATGGACTTACACACCTATCTAATTCTATATCATCCTAGGCAGATCTACAGCACAAATACTCTCACCATCTAGCATATTTAAACCTGTTAATTTATCTAGTCTCAGGAAACCTATTACGGCTGTTACACTTTCCATTCTGTAACTCAGAATACAAGTTAATTTGTGAATTAGCATCAGATACCATTGTGGCCTAGAAGCGTTAACTCCACACAGAGATTTATTGCACAGTACAATAACCAGGCAATTAGACTCACATTTGAGTAGCTTACTTCTGTTCTAAACCCAGCAAGCCTGATTCTTCTTTCTTTGCTCCCCTTTTAGGAAAGAACTGGGCCCACTGTCTTTATAAACACCTAAAAGAACTCTAGCAATTTCTATAAGCTACAAACACATAAGACTTTATATCTCCTTGTAAAAGTTTCACTTACTGGAACTCTGCCTTTTGCTCTAAATGCTGCCACTTTTGAGAGGTCATCATCCTTTACACTGGTTGGCACAACAAGAATAGCAGGATATGTATCACAAAGCTCAAAGGTGTTGTTAATTTTGGATATTTTCCAACTCTCATTGGGCAAGCCCTGTATGAAAGCAAAACGTTTTCATGTTTTTCAGGTTAGATCTTTATATATCTGAGTTTGGCGATGAGAATGTTGATACGCTACGTACTTTTAAAAAAAAAAAAAAAGTGAGCCCATGTTTTTCTTTTAAATCAGTTACTAGCTTTAAGTCTTCATATTGTATCGTAAGTCAAAACACTGAAAGCGATTTTTACTTACTATCTTTAAAATTACTATGCAAAATAACCATTTGAATAGGCCATATACTCAGGGTAAAAAGTGATCATAGAGTGAAATAAAAATATTACTTTTGCAACCAGAAGACCGTAGATTTACAATGACAAACTAAGGTGACTTCTTTTCAATGATGCTTACTGAAAAACAAATTTCAATAAAGGGTCTATATTTTCAAAAATGGCACTTGGAAAACGTGGATTTGAGAATGCATGTTAAGATAGACACATCTGCTCTAGTACTCAATTTTAGCAGGACTTATGAGTGTTCAGCACTCTCAAAGTCAGGCCACTTGTATTTCATTATCAAAATATGAATTTTGGGCAAATCTCTGTATATAGCCAGTGCTGAAAATTTTGAATTTTCTTTAAAAATTTTTTCTTGTTTAAATGGCTTTGTGTGGAAGGGACACAGGGGAGAAAAAGTAAGACACCAAGTACTTGTGTAACTTACCTGCCTCTTATATTCAGCCATTGGATCATATACTTTCCAGCCGTTAGCAGCAAATTTCTCTTTATAGCTGAATGCAAAAAGCGGCTAAAAAAAAAATAATAATGCAAAGACATAAATTACTATCTAGCGGGCTATAAGCACAATAAGCTTCAAAATAAGGAACCTTACAAAATTTCAAACCAAAAATTAAAAAAAAACTCTTTAACATTAGACCTAAGCTCGCCAATCAAGACTGGACAGCACTGTGCTGGAACACAAATAAAGGATAGTTTCTTCTTTCAAGTGCATGCTATCTAATTAACAAAACCAAGAAATGGAACAGAGGCAGTGAGAGGTAGTTATTTGCCCGTGATCACAAAAAAGATCAATGGCGGAGCCACGGTGAGAAGCCTGGTCTCCTGTTTCCCAACCGGTTCCTTACCCACGCAAGCATAACAAAATAGCATTTCATTGCTAACTAATAAGACGACTAATTGTACCCGTTTGTTTTTCAGACAGTGAACTTCGACTGAATTATCTATTATCTACTGTGGAAAATAAGTCTCTCTCTCTCTCTCCAGAGACAGACAGACAGACAGAAAGAGAGAGAAAATCAGCAATATTAGGCAAATTAAATCTCAAGGGTTATGTACAAATTAGCTAACTTTAGGGACAGCAGGACGCAGCGTAACCATCTTATAAATTAATGCAAAAAGGAAATAGGGTCAGAGGAGCTCGCCTGCTTCATAATGCATTTTATGAATCAACATTTTAATGTTTGTTACACAGTGCTTTTATTTCTCTGCCTACACTTTCCAAAAAGAGGACAGACACAGACAGCCTTATATCTTAAGACTTACCAGCCCATTAGAAAGAGGAAATGCACGTGTAACGAGGTTTTCAAAAATCTCCAATCTGTTCTGCTCTTCCTGTTTATAGGCAAGCCGCAAGTTTCTCATATCCTGTCAAAAATAAGTCACACTATTTTACCCTATGATATTTTTTTAAAAAAAGAGCAGTTATAATAAGTATGGCTGAAGGAAAGTATATATGTTAACACTAAATAACTGGTATCATCTAATCCATATTAGAACAGAGTTAAGTATTTGTATTAGATAACTAGGACTGTCACTAGAGTTCCTAGATATGACAAAAATAGCCATTCTTCCTTTAAATTCCCTCTTGTGACAAAAAGCAGAAGTGTTTAATACTGCATAGTATCACAAGAGGAATTGAAACATATTATCTAAATGAAGTAGGATTCAAACCAGGGATCAGAGTAGAGAGAAAAACAGCACACTTGCATGCAGGTCCCTAAAATGAATATAAAATCAAAATACTTGGATCAAATGAAAATGAAATCATAATTAATGGATTTGTACCACGCCATACCTTGCAAACTATTTCTATACCACATGAGTTGTCCCCATGGCTCTGTACTCCAATTTTTTCAACTCTGTTTATTACTCCAAGGGGGACATCAACAACAAAAGGTGGATCCTGAAATTTGAACATAAAACATAAATTAATTTAGTCACATTAGGAGAAATGCAATCTACTATTATTTATGTGTATTCCACTAGTCTCATCTATAATTCCTGTTTAACAGACTTCTGTGGAAAGTCATGCTTCATTTATACCAAATTTGTGGCATTTCTGAAACCCACTTCAGCCAAATTTCTACCTGGAAGAAATATGCAGATAGATGGTAAAGTCTTACCCTTTCAACACTTTTGATATACATTCTGAAGTCCGTCACCGTCAGTGTGCCGCTGACTGCTCCCATAAATGGACAGATATACATAACATCTTTAGCTGCAAAAGAGATCAACCAAAGCTTTGTTTTACTATTACATCTATTTGTTTCATAAAAATCTATTTCTAGTAAAAAATAACAAGAATTTTTGCAGGCTCATATTACCACAGGATTTTGATCCTGGACTGCATACAAAAGTATATTCTTCAAATGCTGTTAGTATGGAAAGAGCTGTCTTTATCTACACAATGAAAATAATCAAATTCCTCAGCCCTGCTGCTGCTCAGAAACTACTGAGCAGTTAGGACTGAGCTCAGACAGTGTGTACTGCTGTAAGGGCAGGCAGGTAACAAAGAAGTCTGGCGCCCTGCTGGCACTCTGAGCTGCAGGCAGCTCTGGTCCCTTCCCTGAGGCGTAAAGCAGCCTGCACTCACCTCCTGGAGGGAGCAAGCAAGTTGGCTTATTGAAGAGTATGCAATTCACCTCAAAGTAACTCAGTGATATGCCCATATCTTCAATTTCAATTTATTTGAAAGAGTTAGCATTCTTTTCTGGCCAAATACTGTGCTGCCAACACACAGCTTGCCACCACAGACCGAGGTGAAATACATCCCAATAAGAACTAGATACTGAGTTTTACATAATTTCATCCTCTTCGCCATCACAAATTTTAAGTGCTTCAATCTACGGAGTACCCTTGGCAAACCTCGTGAATAAATACAATCCACATGATTAATTTGCCTGTATGGAACAAACTAACCCTTGAAAATAATTAATCCGTCTATATGGAGCAAGTCGTCATCTTGAATTGATTTACCTTTCAGGCCCACATTTGGCTTAAAAGACAAAGAAAAGAAATCCACATGAAGTATGCTAATCCAAAGTGGCATTCAAAACTAAAGTAACACAACTCAACAGTAAACTTCGTGCTATTATGAAAAAAATAATGTCCCATTTATGAATAAATAAATTAATGACTTAATAATATTCAGCGTAGTACTCAATAGTACGCTTACCAATAACTTTGATTGATTCTCCAGGAAAAAGTGGAGCTTCTTCCATCTGTGCTAGTTTGTTTCCATCCCGCAGTGCCTGGCAGAAGTCCAAAACCATGAGTAAATCTCACTTTTCATCTGTACTACATTAATAAATTTTGATGCAAAGTGCTTTTACTATGAGATTACTCAAACACAACTGTATCTTTTTTCCAAAGCACAACTGTATTCAACTGTGTCATATTAAAAAACACAAAGCTTGATATTGTAAGTATTACACACACATACATATTAGTAAGGTATTAGTAACTAAGCATTTATGCAACAATTAGTTTCACATGCTAGCTACATATACAGCATACAAAAATATGAGCAATAATAGCAGTCCAATTTTGCAATTAATAATTTGTTAGCCTTTTGCTAAATGCAGGTTGTATTTGGGGCATTTTATCTGCTCCACAACATTTTAAAGTTTATATTAAATTATTTTCTATTCTCAATGTTGAATGCTTAACATTTAAATATTTTCATCTGAGAATTACATGGCAGAAGCTTTACTTATTTATCATTTCAACTCCATATCTAGAAGGTCAGATTAAGAACAAGGTAATAATGAAATACAGACGAACAGTTAGTGATTTTAAAATAAGGGCTAGTTCTGTAAGTTTTCATTTAGAGAAGTCACTTCATTCCTGAATAATAAAAGCTCGATTCTTTGGGCCCTTATTTGGCAACCAAGGTTTACAATGTACTTCAATTAAGAATAAAAGGGTTTGCGGGGCTTTTAAGGACCGTGTGAGAAAGTGATCTCTCTCAGGTCAGCACACTGTTAAGGTTTCAATTTTTTACATCTTGAATTGACACTAAGTGTAACGGGCTATTTTACAATAAACAAATACCCTCCCTTTATATTACAGTTCTCATTTACCAACAAATAATGTGTAGAATTTGCTTGCCTTAAAAAAAAAACCAATCTCATCATTTCTAAGAAATTTCTAAATCAATTTCTAAAAATGTTTAAATTGATTTTTTGTTTTATAATATCTTGGAAACTAACATAATTTTGTATTTAGCACCCAATCACAAACAAAGATGGCATGTAGAGAATGAGCCAATACTTACATACTTAGAGGAACGAATGTGCTCGGTCAGATTGGGGCTTAAGTGCAGTATTCCAACCTAGATTACATGACGTTACACAAAATCCCTACCTAGCAGATCACCAGTTAACATACCAAATGTCTTCTGCGGGTTCTCTTTAATGAGATATATGAGATTTCTATGTACTGTACAAGTACTAGTATACAGTACCTTGCTACACAGTTAATGAATGAAAGATGAGTAAAACTTGCCACCTGATCAGCTTCTGCTTCAGAATGATAGCCATTGTGTCC